GTGGTAGTAGTGGTAGTGGTAGTAGTGGTAGTAGTGGTAGTAGTGGTAGTAGTGGTAGTGGAAGTGGTGGTAGTAGTAGTAGTAGTAGTAGTAGTAGTAGTAGTAGTTGTAGTTGTTGTTGTTGTACTAGTAGTAGTAGTAGTAGTAGTAGTAGTAGTAGTAGTAGTAGTAGTAGTAGTAGTAGTAGTAGTAGTAGTAGTAGTAGTAGTAGTAGGAGTAGGAGCAGGAGCCGGAGCAGGTAGGAGTAGGAGTAGGAGTATCATTGTTGTTGTTGGTTGTTAGTTGCTGGTTGTTGCTTGAGGTTTGTTGTTTGTTGTGAGCTTTGGGACACATGTTAAGTTCGCTGTGGTTAGCAGGCCGGTGCTCCTGGTCGTCCACGCCTTTCCGCGGAGCCGCAGACCTTGGAGGAGTGGAAGGACTTGGTCCCTGGCTTTGACTGGATGTACTTCTCTGCCATTCTTTGCTACGTTGCATGTTTGCAACTCCACAATCGCACACAAAACTTCTGAAAAGAAACATGCCCATTCCGAGACAAGGTCGGCCAGATCGAGGAGAACATGAGCGAAAATGCCGAAACAAGACGGTCATTGGCGAGACGACTTCAGCAGAACAAAGAAGCAGGCTCGCAGCAGCACGAGTCGTAGCTTCAGGCTGTCCTCAAGACCCAGAGAGTGTGCAAAGATTCCTATGGCAACGGTACGCCACGACGATGCTGGAGGGTTCCTTGTGTGTTGAAGGCACCCCGCTGACATCATCTTTGCATGTCGGGCAGTCGACTTGAAAGTCCTTTGTCTCATGTCCGCCGCAAAGTGTGGTGCTGAACGCTGCCAGGTAAAGAGCTCCAAGCTCAGCTGACGCGGCGAGTACTGAATGAGGCTGCTTGGGATACCAAATCTCGGCGGAAACTTGTGGCCTCATTGGCCTCCCGGAGCGCCACAGTCACTACATCATTTAGACAAAGCAACAGAACTAAAGATAACTAAAAGTAACCTGACATGGAAGCCGACCTTGATGTCCAAAGAAAACGCTGAACTCTGAAGAAGCACGCAAGCCTAGCAGACATGGGAAACATGTTTCTACCCGGATTCTACCCATGTAAACGGTTAAGTTGGTACAGTGCAGCCGGTCGGCCGTCAATCGAAGCCCGCTTGTCATAGAGAATGGTCCAAAGTCCCACGACGTCCACGACGTTTGCTTAGACACTTGCACGCTGCGCGCTTCACTGGAAGCCCTAAAGCCCCCAGAGAGGCCAATGTCCCTTAATTCAGGAATATACTTTAAATCATATTCAGGACCCGTTTATGATTCAAGGTATAGGTATATTTTCCTTCATTATAAGGGGTATTTTGGGCTCTCCGGACCTGAACCCCAAACTCGCTTTCAGGACTTGCGGGCCTTCCTTGAGTTGATCCAGCGAGTGCAGGCCGCGAGGGGACCTTGGAACGCTAGTTTAGTACAGAAGGTACTCTGCTTTGTCTCAAACTTCCGCAGCTGTTGCGCAACTTATACAATGCTTCATTCAGCCTTCGTAATATATGCTCAGTGCCCGGTGTAGGTCTTGGAATACGAGCGCCTGGAGCTGGACCACTTCTGGGAAATCCACCGGCGACGGCTGGAGGACAGAGACTTGGAGCGACTTGGAACGCAACACAGAATGCGCACACACACGCACACACACACACACACACACGCACACACTCACACACGCACACACTCACACACTCACACCGCCGCAGCACACCTCTCTGCTCAGAAGTACGGTTTAGCACAGTTGTGGGCCATGTAGACATGTCGCATGCTGGCTGCTGGTCGGAGCACGGACAAAAGTCTTGTGGCGTGTGATGTATACGGGTCATCTTACATTATCCTAATTTTATACGATCTCTTACTTTATCACGGGTAGAAAGTAATACTACCATATTCCTATATCATTACATCAGCACAGTTGCAACTGGTTGTATCATTATACATATTGTTGTTGTAAATATGAGACGAAGATAACAATTTTGCTGTTACATGATTATAGCATTATATCATTATGGCATTGTAATATTGTTAGTTTTTAGATACGGGGATTCTTAAGTTATTAGGATACTAAACTATTAGAATTGGCATACTTTATTCGTATAGTATTACATTATTTTGTTATGGCATCGTTGTGTTATTATATTCTTACGGTATTCTGTTATGATCATATACTATTCTCATATTATTTGACTATTATTTGTATGGTTGTATGATTGTATTGTTGCATTATTGTATGATTGTACTGTTGTACTATTGTATTATTGTGCTAGTGTATCATTGTATTATCACATCATCATACTGTTAATGTTCTTTCATTTTCTAGCGACAGCGTTGTCAGGATTGCAATGCTTCGAGAGCAACTGCGCCTCCGCAATGACCACATCCTGGCCCAACGAAAGAGTCTGCCAAGCGAGCCACAGGGGCAGCTGCTTGGCTACGCTCAGGGCAGATCGGGTTGTGCACCTTGCGCATGTTTCTGCCAATGTGGCAATATGTCCGCAAATTCCAGACATGCGCGGCTCGGGTCGGCATTAGGCTGCGGAAAGCCAGGGTTGAATTGTCACCTCCCAGAGTCGACTTATGTCCCGATCGTGGTCAAACATGATGCTGAGGCTGGGAGACAGAGCCTTCCTCCTGGGAGCCACGTCAGAGATGCAACTAGGCCGTGAGGAGGCTGTCGGTTCCAGTGTTGGCTTAAAGGGTGCTTATGGCTGACAGCCCGGTCCCTGCATTGCGAGCTGAGGCCGGTCCAAGATCACGGACCTTTGCGGATCATGCAAGCTTGGGCGCCAGCAGCCAAGGAGAAATCCGTGAGTCGACACCCCTGGATCCTGCCTGGCTTCAAAAACATGTCGAAGATTAGGGCACGAACCAGGAGTTGATAGGCTTGAGGAAGGGCCGCTCTCACCTGCCCAGTTGGCTGATTCTAATCTCTAAGCGTCAGACTTGGGTCAGACATGCCTTGCGTGGCTCTCAACAAAGAACGCTCACGAAATCATGGCTTGTGAGCATGAACGTATCAGACGTCAAGCTGTTGCATGCTGCTAGGGTGCCTGAAACTGTAAAGCCTCCTGTCAAGCATGAACGGACTCAGAAAAGTTCAGTAGCTCGAAGCGGCGTCGTGTTTGTTTCCTGGTTTCTTTGATGGGGTCTGGCCGTGGAAGGAGGCGGATGAGTTCGAGCATTGGGATAGCCGCCCACTGCGACAGCGGGAGCGGACAGCTTCCTACATCGGGCAGGCGGTTTCTCGTTGTCAGCGGTTTTCAGCGGCATCATACCGTTTCGCGCAGGGCTCCAATACTGCTTAATTATAAGGAATATTCAAATTCCTTAAAATGTGAAAGCGTTCCTGGTAAGGTTTAAGGAGTATTCCTTATTAATTAAGGGGTATTTGGAGTCTCTGGGCGGCTGCCAGTTTTCAGGGCCTTGTTTCAGGTGAGTCCACGGGAGTCCTCGGAGTTAGAGCGCTGCCTGTCAATGCACGTCTGCTCCTGAGTGATGGGTTGCTGCGACGTTGTGTTGCCAGTGATTGCGGCGGCTAATCCAGGCATTAAACTGGGCATTTCCCTAAACAGGGGTACGCCCTGTATACCCCAAATAGAATAGAATCTCCTTACAGGGACCCCCAAGAAGGGTACCCCTATTTTCGGAAACCCTTAAATGAAGCATGGCATGACAGTCACATGCAGCCATGCAGCTTCAGCGATTAAGGACAAGGCGATCAACTGGAGAGCCCTGGAAGTGCCTTTGGCCTCGCAGATCAAGGGGCTCGCCCTCTTGCAAGAGGATGGTGGCAAAGTGCCGAGACACCTGTCTGCACACTGCGGGCCCCTCCTCCCCTCTCCTTCCCGCGCCCTACTGGCCAGTTCGGGTTGCAAGGCGCTTTATAAGGTGGCTATGGCCAAGACAGAAGCCCTAGCTCCCCGTTGTGTCTATGTTGAGTGTTTTTGAACGCTTCAAAGGCCATGAACGCGCTAATACCGATGTTGGTGTCGGGCGCTGTGTCATGTTGCGCCTGGCGCCAATCCTTACGTTCGCATTGCACCCTTGATCCTGTCAGGATTGCTTGCACAGCCTCCGCTGCCGCTGGCGCATGTCCCGCAGCCACCACTCTCAGGAAAGCCAGGGCGACACCTGACGAGTTTGGCGGCACACGGCGTTGCACCAGCACCAGTGCAAACAGCGCGTCGTCCGCATCACGCTCATGCCGAACACCGCTCGCCGCCACCAATGCGTACAGGCATCAGTGGCGCCAGCGACGCATCCCTTAGTGGGCGTCCGAGCCGTGCAATGGAGGCACGAAGCCCGGCTCTCGCGAGACAAGGAGCTCCGTCGGCCCTTCGGGCCTATGGCGTGTCTCCGGCATATCGGGAGCTTCACAGGGACCAGCGCCAGATGGATAGGAACGGAGCCCATCACCGGAAGAGCAGCCCCTGGCGCTCGCGCGGGATCGGGAAGGCTGGAAAGTTTTTAGTTCACATGCAAGGCAGATAGACTCATCTTTCGCCATCCGGGCAGATCGAAAGGCTGCCACTACAGAATAGTGAGCCACAGCCAAAAGCACAAGCTGCCTTAGACTACACAAAATCAATGCGCCCAGGATGGTGACACCCATTCGGGACCGTTCGTCAATTCGCTTGCATGAGTTTGCAGTTGATGGAGTTCCCAAAGCAGGTTAGTGATGCAATGTGCCCTGACGTTCAGCCGTTCTTTCAGCAGCGGATCCAGAAGTTGTACCAGTGGCCCATGCCAAGCACCGCCTTGCATGTCTTTCGAGGCGCACAAGAATACCAGTCGTCTCGTTCTCACCATGACGTTGATCGCATGAGTCCTTCCAAAGGAAGACAGCCGCGAAAAATTGCGAATTCTGCCGAGTATTGCCGAACGCCTTCTCGTCACGACTTGTCGCAGCAGGTCAATGTGATTCACCGCCATCGTTGTTTTGCAACAGTTGCTAACTTCTTTGTGGCCAGGCTGGGCAGCAAGAGTTGGAGATGGCACTGCACTTTGCTGAGAGTGGGGAGCCGGTCTTCATCATGGTGCAACTGCTTGCAGCCATGCGGGTTTTCGCAGATCCTGAGGCCCCATCGCGCACAGTCCCCGCGCTCCAGCGAGGCACCACATCCGCCTCGATCTCACTCTCTAAGACCCTGAAGCCTTACAGCAAGTGCCGTAGATATCGTAAGCTTGCATGCAGAGAGGGACTGCGTGAGGACTGCATATGCCAGTAAGCGTTGACTTGCAGACACGCACGCAGGCATCTTTATGTATGGGCAGGAGAAGACATTCGCAGTTGGTGGGACATTGATATGCACATAGGTTTCAGTATTGGCTAAAGCCTTGAGGCTATCTTGTCTAGGAATAGTTTGAGAGGCTTTACAGGGCCAACCGTGAAGTAGTCAGTAAGATGCGCAAAAATCGGACCACGGACCCTGAACCTTGTGAAGACCTTCGTGCCAACTTGTAGCTCTGAATAGTCTTGTGGACAGGTTTCAAAGATCAGGTTCCGGAAGTTCCGCAGCCTTTAAACAATGCTGAGGCAAATTTGGGCCCTCAATGTAGCAAGATGCTAAGCTAAGCCAAGCAACAATGGCAAGCAAGAGCCGTTCGGAAGGCGCATGAGATCTGACAAGGAGGTCCTCGTGCAACTTGCCCAAAGACATTCAAGGACATTTGCTGCTGTCCTATGCAATGCATCCATATGCATCCGGCTTCCGAACCAGGTGGGTTTGTTTAGGATTCCGGCTGCTCTGGGTAGCTTAAGGGAGCGCTGCATTGGAGAGTCCATAATGAGCTTTGGAACTGGCTGCCCGCATGGTCCGCATAGGCATGGCTGGCTGGATCTCAGGTCGTACACAGCAGCACCCGAAGACCTGCATCCCGACTTCACCTTCTCCAAAAAGTTGGCGCTCGGGCTGTTTGGTGAAACCTCGCGATTGCCACCGGGCAACCTTGAAGAACAACTTGTGCTCGAAGTCCTGCGCTGCTCCCACAGCCCTTCAGGCAGAACGTTGCAAGGAGGTCCTTGTCGTGACGGAGCGTCCGCTCTTGACGACACATGTGATGCATTGAAAGCCAAGCAGCAGGAAAAGATCTGAACGACGCAGAAGCCCCAAGCCTAAGCCACGGGTTTCGAGGTTGAGACCAGTCATGGAACCTTCATGGCGGCTCCAGCTTAGGGTGTGTCGGGACCGGACACGCCTCGGATGTTGGACGCAGGCTGATTTTCCAGGGCTCCTGGCCCAAGGGTTCCTCCCTTGACCCCTCTTTCCCCTGGTGAATGTAAAGGAGACGCTTATTCCTGTACTGTGTTCCCCTCTTTCCCCTCTTCACTGTGAAGGAGAGAGACTCTTTAATCCGCAGTGCCTTTGGCTCAAACTGAAGCCAAGAAGTGCCCTTGCTGGGAGAGCGTGGCCTGACCTTTCTCATGGATGTCATGTCCTGTCTTGATGCAACTCTCCGCAAGTGTTTGGATGCAGACAGCATCTGCAGCCACAGACTGAGGACCCATCATGAAGGGGCTGGCCCCGAGAAGCAGAAGCCTTCTGGCAGTCGTTGCTATGGCTCTCCAGCTTCAACAGTACTTCATGCGTTAGTGCTGTTGGTCACCCGGACATTCACCGACACTTCGTGATTCTGTATGTAGGCTACTTGCGCTCGCTGCGCCATGCTGTCCCGTTGTTGGGTTGAAAAACTGTTGATTCGTATTGAGCCCATGTACCTTCTGAGGTATTGGCAGCGCGGGCATGCCTCACTCCATCGTTTGTCTGAACCTCATGACCTTGTTGTCCAGGAACCTTTGAGCCCTGAGTCAGCCTTTCTATCACCAGCTAATTTTCGGGATGGCCTGTCCAAGCCCTCAGCTCTCAAGTCAAGGCGATTCATGGCCCATGTACACCTACGTGCATTCGGGAAGCTCGAATAGTGAACCTCTGAGAGGCCAGAAGACCTCAAACCACATCCGGCAGGAGTGGGGCCAGACATAGTTTCAGAAGGTTCGGCCCTTCCTAAACCCTAAACCCTAAACCCTAAACCCTAAACCCTAAACCCTAAACGGCAACCTGCGGACGGCAAGGTCGCTCCGCGAACTGCGCCTGCGCAGCCTGTGATGGCGCTCAGCCTCGCGCAGGCGCCCCATTTGAAGCTTAAGAGCTTAAGAGCTTAAGGGGGCATTCCTCTAAGTTCATGTGAAAAAACGGACCCACTGGAAGGTTCATGGGTAGTCATAAGTAGGGTGACAAGCACCCTAGTGTGCAAGTATAGTTGCCGTACGTATACTAATCCCCTCCCCCTAATACTAAATCTGCCCCCCCCCCCCCCCCCCGAAATTCTAAAATTCGCCTCGGCCGGAAAAATGTTTAAAATTGGGGTCCTAAACCCGAAAACCTGAAATCGAAGGAGTGTAGGGTTTGGAGTTTGTGGTTCTGGCTTCAGTTAGGGTTTAGCCTTAATCCCTAAACCCGAATTACCCTCATCGAAAACCCTAATGGCTCAACCCCTGGGCTGAGGCCAGCACCCCCCCCCCCCCCTCCCCCCCTAATTCTCAAACAGGTTTAGTATTGGGCTGGGTGCCGGGAGGACCCGGCAAAAGTTATATTTAAAATAAAATTAGGGTGGGGTTTGTTACTAGGGGGAAGCGATTACTACTTTCAACTACCCGAATGAACCTTCAAGCAGAGTATGTCAGCAAGGCATGAGACCGGCTTGTGCTGTCTGCTGTCTTCCTCGGCTGAGTTTCCCCCCACGGCTCTAGAGTCGGTCGAGTGGAGTTTCCCACTTCGGTAGGTTCTGGCGCCAGCTCCTGCGAGCGCTGAGGTCAATCAGGAGGAGCAGACTTTGGATCATGCATGCGGCACCTTATTGGGGTTCCTATTGTGACTGATGTTAGGGGACCCTGTCGTAAACCCACATGTATGTTCGATTGAAAGTTGTACTACTACTGTAGCTGCCAAAACAGGCAGATGCCGTGGCAGGGTGCCAGAGCAAAGCAGCAAACAGGCCTACTTTGCCGCAGCTGGCATCGACCCAAACGAGGTTCGTGGCGAGATGATAGACCAGCCACCACCTTAGCGAATTCTCGCGCATGACGTCCAGATGCGCTATCGTAAGCCTAGTACTGCGCACGTGCGCCTGACGCGAAGCGCGCAGGATGGACATGGAACGTTTGCTCATCGAAATGAGGGCTGTGCTACCACTTGTCGCTGTATCCTGCTACCTCCGAGTTGCGCATCCAGGTGTCAGAGCAAGTTTCAGATACAACCACCCAATTTGCTCCTAGGATGTCGGATACAGATGCGGCTGCCCCCTCAGACTCGAAGCTCTTGTTGCCATGTTCTCGGATGGCGGGCCAGAGTACACCAAGAACCCTAAACCCTAGACCCTAAACTCTAAACCAAGGCACTCCTTGGTGCGACGGACTTCTTTTGGGGGATTATGGTGCCATTCACTGCTGGTCTCGGCCTGGTCATCTGGCTGCACTTCAGTTTAGGGTTTAGGGTTTAGGGTTTCTCATGAAATATCTTGGGGGAAGTATGAGTTTCCCCGACCGACTTCCCAAGCACGGATGCAAAAAGAAAAGGGCTTAGGGTTTAGGGCTCCTGCAGCCTTCTTTCGAGCTCTCCAAAGTTTGGTGTGCGAGGTTTATGGAATCGCTATCAGCACTGGAAACCTGGAGGGGCCATTCCCTACCGAGGAGTGGCTGCCTGAAGCATGTCGGCCTTGAAAGAAGCCCTAAAGCCTAAACCCTTTCAGTTGCCCCGTGGAGCATGGCTAGACGGGTGGCACAAAAACCCAAAGAAAACACCCTAAACCCTGGGCGATTCAACCCTAAACCCTAAATACAGGAAGCTTGAGGATGCAGCGATGTGATGCGACTCGTATTGTTGCAGAAACGCGACAATACCTGGAGCAAGAACTCGGTTACAACTCGCTTAGCTGGTGAGCACAGACATAGGCGACAGCTGTGAAGTGCGGTTTACTGGTGCAGACTTAATGGCCATGTGCAGCATGCTTGTAGTTAGCGTGTCAGGGGAGGGGAGAGGGGTTGGGGAGGGGGGGGGGGGGGGGGGGGGGGCAGGTCCTTGCCGCCACCCGAACACCTCTCAGCTGCGTGCAAACCAAGGGGTACAACCTGTGCAAAGGGTGTTGGGGAGGAGCATTCTGCAACCAAGACGCCTGCCGACGTTATGGACACATTGCGTTGTCAGGACGGCGAGCAGAAGTCCTGAAAAGCTGAAGTTTGTGCAGATGAACCTGCTATGTTGAAGCAAGCGCATGCCCGGAAGGACGGCATCAATAGTGCCGGCCGGCCGTCTCCATGGCTCATATCTGTTAAAGACAACTGTGTGCTACACTGTAGCACTGCTACAGTAGTCACTTCCCCAAGCAGTCAAGGCGGCAGGAGACAAAGAAAACGTCCCCAATGCACGTGACCGCTGAAGCTTTGTTTTCCTATCCCCAGCAAACATAATGTATGAATTGAGGGGGATGTATATACATATATATATATATATAGATATGTATACATATATACATATATATATATATATGTAGATATACATTCTGATTGATAAACATATGTGTATATTTGTATATTCAAACAACTTTTGCCGGGAACAGTAGGAGTCAAAGTCGTCTTGGCAGCCGAAAGGGTCTTCAGACTCCAGAAGTGTCTTCGCCAGAAGTGTCTTGTGAAGAGGAAATTCCTTCCCCCCCTGCCTCGAACAGAGCCCTGCTATACTAAACAATACATCTTGACAAGGCGTGGTACGTTGTGATACGATGTTGATGCACACCCATAATGCGAAAAGACTCGTAGTCAGAGTCAGGGGGTGCATTTATGGTTGTGTAAGCATCTTTGTGTCGGAACAAAACCTGATTCGGAAAATCTGGCGCGCGTCGCCCTTTTGGGGGGCATGCCCTAGGCCCATCTATGTCCAGGCCTCACACAGCACCTCCGCCCCCCGTCTCCCCCCCCCCCCCCAAAATGTGATTCACGGTGGTTTAGTATTTAGGGGGTAGGATGTAATTAGGGCTTTATAGGGTTTCGGCTTTCCCTTCTCCCCTCCGCCCCGTTGTTGCTCAACGGTGGTTCGGCTTGAGGGTTTGGGTTGAGGGTTCAGGGCTGGGACTTTTCACCGGGGCATTCCCACCTGTGGGAGCGGGGGGGCCCCCCCCGGTGTGGTGGGGTTGAGTTGCATGTTGTATATACGACGTGAGTGCAGTAGATAACCTTTCGGCACAAGCGCTCACGCTCTCTGGAATCCAAGTGTCGATCTGCAGAGTTTCCGATGACACGTGTCAACTGTTGAACGTTGGGATTATCGGCGTGCTCCAAAACGCCCGGGACATTGGCCATGGATGCGCCAGCGCCGACCCTGTTTGGGAGCACTGCCGTGGCCATAGGCTGCGTGGCCCTGCTGGCGGCACACTGGCATGCTACGAAGGCTTTTGCCCGCCCGTCGGTTTTGTCACAGCCTTGCTTCTCTAATCTTCTCTAGCTCGCAGGCGGATGTGAAGTTCGGGGTGTCGAAGCTCCTCCACTTTGTGGAAGACTGGGCCGAAGCCTTACGAAGCAGAAGCCTTCTGAGACGGGCCTTAAGCTTTAAGCATTGCAGCGTTGCAGTTGCCTCGTGGGAAGGGCTCCGGTCTCAGCCCCATGGCCGCCCGCGTCGAGGAGGAGCGGGTTTGCCGAGCGACTTGCCGGGTTCTGAGGGAAGCGTCTTTGTTTCCTTTAGTGTTTGGGGCTGTGACACAGAGCAAAAGGGGAGCGGCTCAACTCGCCTGGGCAAAAGACCAGCCACAGCCGCTCCACGCAGCTTCAAGATGTAGCGGCTGCCATTTTTCTGCATAAAATATAGCAACTTCGCATGCAGGCATGGCGCATGGTAATCGATGGCTTAGCACTTTGTTGTACCTACGCATCGTGACGTAATACGGTGTAAGACAGAACGCTTGCCCTCTTCCGCGAGGAGCTCATGCAGGTGCGCGTGAAGATTTGTTTGTTGATCAACCGGCTCTGCGTTCATGTAGTTGTTGTTATGATGTTGCTCCTGGTGGCGGAGTTCCTCCGTGCACCCAGCCTGCAATCGACGTTCTGCTTGCTTCAATGTGTGGTTGCATACCTGTCTCATGCCCTGATCTTCACGTACCCGCGGATTGTGACATCTTCGGTCCTTCGCCCTTTGCGGCTGTTCTTCTTTGCGCTCATCTTGACGCTCATCTTAGTGAGTGGCTCCAACGACAGTACGGACGAGATTTTGGGGCGGCTGGGCTTTTGCCTGTCAGCACAAGTTATTCAGGCGTTTGTTTTTCCCGTGGGTGCAATGACATTGGTGCAGTCCGTCTCCTATGCCGCTGCCCACACCTGGGTGACAGGGCAGGTGTTCGGCGCTGTAAACCTGTGGCTGGTAATTTTCCAATTGTGCCTACAGGCAATAATCTGTATCGCCCTCCCGATCATTTTCGAGTTCGCCGTTCGGGAGTGGATTGTGGCATCCTTCCAGTCGCAAGACTCAGACTCAATGATTGCGGGCTTTCGGCAGATGCTGAAAGGGATCTGTGATGGAGATTTGCTTCTGGACGGCAACTTCCAGATCTGCGGGAGCGCGCCGTGCCTTCAACGGCTCTTGTCAAGTAGCGAGGACTTTGCTGGACACAGCTTTCGGGAGCTCATCGTCGATGAGGAGGCGAGGGCAATGTTCGATCTCTTCCTGGGATCTGCCGCGGCCAAGGGCGACGGCGAAGAGGGCACCCAAGGTGGTGCCCCGCGGTGCCTGCGGGTGCCTCTGCGGGCCTTCTCGGGGCAGACGATTTCGGTGGACGTTTTCCACGTCCCTTTGCCACCCAGTCTCTGCGGTGAGAGCACCACCTATCACCTGCAGCTTGGTTGCGTCATGTCGGATATCTTGCTGCTATGTGAAGTATGGAAGTGCTGAGGCTTGCCCTGAAGGAGGATGTGCATTCCAGGCAGCTCCCAGAAGCACCTCTTTGGCATTGTGACACCTCTGCAGGTTGCTGGTGTTCTGTAGCGATTCCGGGGTTTTGTGTTTGGTGTGGGACACTAAGGCGGATCCGACGCACAATGCCGCCCGACTTGTTCTGGGAAGTCGTCTCGGGTCCCCTCCATGGGCTTCCCTTCCCCTTTGCCCCTTTGCCCCTTGCCCCAGGTTCTTCCCAGCAGCCTGCTGGCCTCCAGGCGCGCCCCGACAGCACGCTCTGCTGCAAGCAGTGCCGCCGCCTGGCGAACTTCGGAGATGGCATGGCGGTTGGGGTCTGCTTCGTGCTGCATATTTCGGCATAGAATATATGTAATGCATCGTGCAGCAGCGAGACTCCTGATTGCGGCAAGGACGTCGTGGAATGCTACGAGGAGCTGGTGGAGATGACGCTGCTGGTGAATGCCAGCACAGCACTGATGGACATCGAGGAGGCCCACCTGAGATTCGCGCCTTGGCTCCCACAGTTATCCCAGAGTGGCTGGCAACGTTGGTCGGCTCCCAAGGAGCGCACGACCGACGACTCCAAGGCGTGCTGTGCTGTTGCGAACATAGGGCGTGCACGTGCCGATGTGCTGCGTCTGCGGCTCGGAGGTGCAGATGGGGATGCCCACGCTAAAGCGCTTTGCACGGCCACTGGACTGGGCCGGCATCGACGCCGTCCTGCGCGGCTACGCGCGAACTGTGCAGAAGGCTTCGGCCCGCGGCCAGAAGGCCTTGCACTCGCAAAGGCAAAGGCCTTTCAGATTGCCGCTAGAAGCCTTGTTACCTGGCCAGGCGGTGGCGGAGGAGAAGCAGGCTACGGGCAGTGGAAGGGGTGTGCAGGTAATGGTCATGGTCACATTCGGTTGTAACGTGCTCAAGCTACTCAGCCTCTCGCTGCAGGCGTTGCCGGCGATGACGCTGCGCCTGCCCGGCGAGTCACGGAAGCACCTCCGATCAAGGCATCTTGCAGATCTTGCAGTATCATATATATATATATGTAATTATATATACATATATATATATATATAAGTATGGGGGACGTTTCGATTCGACATGATTAGACTCCGAACTGCGGCCCTACCCGCCGGCACCAGCTCCGCAGGCATGTGTCCATCAGCTCCCCCTTCCCGCGCGAGAACGCCACTGACGATGTCTTCCTTTTTTTGCATCTGACGCTTGGCGGTTTGAGGTCGCATGTCGAGGCAGAAGCACAAGCCTCCAAGTCAAATCATGGAGAAAACTCGGCTGTTTTGGCCTGTATCAGAGACCCCCCCCCCCCAGTTTTGCCGCATGGTGTTGGGTCTATAAGAATGGCGCAGCAGCTACAGCACTCTGATCATGCTATGGGTGCTAGCGATGTTACCTGTGACTTGCAACTCGCATGACAGTTCATATTTGTCTCGTTGTTATCTGCTGTCTTCCGCTGCTACTGTTGTTACAATATGTTGTGGCATGTTGTGGCCAGACAAACCTGCATGTTATGCTCGGGGAACTGGGGCAGGAAGCAAACCCAGATGTTCAAATCGGAGTTGTAGCTTCTCACAATGCTCAGCATCGACCCCATGTCTTAGCCGCAAGTGCTCTCGGCGCGACTTGGGTGCATGGAATGGTTCACATTGGGCCGGCCGGGGATGATGCCTTTGAGTGGAAGAGGTAACGGCCCCTTATGGTCACGAGAGGAAGGTCACGAAAGTGTGGGAGTGATGGGTGTGCGTATGCGTGCATGGTTTTGATCCCAAGCTGCAAAGGGTGGGCTTCGAGGGGCCTTCGCCACCGCCGACGTCTCGCCTGGGGGACCTGGACGAGAACCAGCGACCCAGCTGCAAGGGGGTTCTCGGCTGCCACAGACGTTTCCGGATGACCGGAAACTGCCAGGCTGCCAGAGGGAAAATCGTTCCGAGTTCTTCCGAGTCATGCGAGGTGTCAGTCGCCGCCTTTGACTGCGGGTCAGGAGGCGCGAGTGGACCTGCAGCCCGAAAGATATGCCCCCACATGCCCCCACACTTCGTCCTCCAATCTCAAGACTCGGGGGCTGCTGCAACCTCGTCCTGAATCTCGTGAACGATCTCGTAAAGTCAGATGCGTGGGCCAAGCTGCAACTCCTGCAAGGTGGCCTAACATCCAAGCGTATCTATAGGCCCCATGTTTGGCTTAGGTGGCCAACCTTGAACTCAAAGGGGAACATCCTCTTTGCTTGTGAAAGCAGTGCCCGACCGCGCGACCACGCCTTGTGGAGGAGCCCTCACCGTCGGCCGTGGGGCCACAGCGGCGGTCGAGGCCCCGATGCGGGTGCCAGGTGCAGCCTAATTCGGGTTTAGGGTTTCGGGTGGAGAATGAATGTGTGCTCTTTGAAATGATTGCGGGAAGGAGCGTGCGCGTGCCTAAGGCAGGTCCCAGGATAGCTTGGTCTTCTTCCAAGTGGGGTCGCCCCGCATCGCAGAGGCGCCGCCGGAAGCGTTCTGTTGCGGATGAGAGGCGAGCAACAGAAGATTCAAGCCCCACGTGAGAGGCGTCATTTTAAGACACAGTTCTGAGACGTGGCCCGCCTGCCAAAGAAGAGCGTAGTCTCTCGCTTTGATCCTTGAGTGTGGCGACGATGTGAACATATGTGAACCCCCTGGCAATTTGCTTTCTTTGGGGTTTTGTTTTTCCAGGCCTAGCCTCGTCCTTCTTGAAATGCATCTCTGACTCTGTATACCAAACCTCGGGGCATCCAGGCGGATGCAAAATTCCCCTAAATACTCATCCTTTTGATCGAAAGATTCCTTTCATTCCCTGAGAATTCCAAAATGGATAGGAAGATGAGGTATCAAATCATCGTGAATTATTTCATATTTCTTTTTTGGCTCAATATATGTTCTAATTCTCTCTCAATCAATCTATTTCATTCTTAAATAATGATATCATGCATGGGCTTCAAACAAATCTTCCTTATAGGTTAACCTCATAAATTTGAATAGGTATCTTTTCAAGGATATATCCCTATAAAAGGCTACGGGCTCGACCCCTATTTTCGCTCTGCGGCCGCCCTGTCGGATGCCCCGCCTCCTCTTCCGGTCCATTTGGCTGCTTGTGAGGGCCTTGCAGGGGGATCCTGAAAATTCCGGGAATTTTAACACGTTTTGTCTAAAAATCCTGGGAATTTTGGGAATCATCCGGAGCTGAAAATTCCCGGAATTTTAGGAATTGTCCGGATTGAGGTTTGGGTTTTCCTTGGGCTGTCACGGCTTGGTCCGCTTGGGCGGTTTTGGGCTGTCACGGTGTTGTCCGCTTGGTCGAAATTGGGCTGTCACGGCGTTGTCCGCTTGGTCCGCTTGGGCGATTTTGGGCTGTCATGGTGTTGTCTGCTTGGTCGGTTTTGGCCTGTCACGGTGTTGTCCGCTTGGGCGGTTTTGGGCTTTCACGGTGTTGTCCGTTTGGTCGATTTTGGGCTGTCACGGTATTGTCCGCTTGGTCCGCTTGGGCGGTTTTGGGCTGTCGCGGTGTTGTCCGCTTGGGCGGTTTTGGGTTGTCACGGTGCTGTCCGCTTGGTCGGTTTTGGGCCGTCATTGTTGTCCGTTTGTTTTGGGTTGTCACGGTGTTGTCTGTTTGGTCGGATGTTCGTTGTCACGGTGTTGTCCGCTTGTGTTTTGGACTGTCACGGTGTTGTCTGCTTGGTCGGTTTTGGGTTGTTATGGTGTTGTCCGCTTGGTCTGCTTTGGTGGTTTTGGGTTGTCATGGTGTTGTCTGTTTGGTCGGTTTTGGGTTGTTGTGGTCAGTTGTGGTATTGTCCGTTTGGTCCGCTTGGGTGGTTTTGGGTTGTCATGGTGTTGTCCGCTTGGTCTGTTTTGGGCTGTCACGGTGTTGTCTGCTTGGGCGGTTTTGGGCTGTCACGGTGTTGGCCGCTTGGGCGGTTTTGGGTTGTCACAATGTTGTCCGCTTCGTCGATTTTGGATTGTCATGGTGTTGTCCGCTTGGGTGGTTTTGGGTTGTCACGAAGTTGTCCGCTTGGTCGGTTTTGGGCTGTCATGGTGTTGTCTGCTTGGGCGGTTTTGGGCTCTCATGGTGTTGTCCGCTTGGTCGGTTTTGGGTTGTCATGGTGTTGTCCGCTTGGTCCGCTTGGGCGATTTTGGGTTGTCATGGTGTTGTCTGCTTGGTCGGTTTTGGGTTGTCATAGTGTTGTCCGCTTGGTCCGCTTGGGTGGTTTTGGGTTGTCACGGTATTGTCCGCTTGGTCGGTTTTGGGTTGTCATAGTGTTGTCCGTTTGGTCCGCTTGGTCCGCTTGGGTGGTTTTGGGTTGTTATGGTGTTGTCTGTTTGGTCGGTTTTGAGTTGTTATAATGTTGTCTGTTTGGTCCGCTTGGGTTGTCACGGTGTTGTCGATTTGGGCGATTTTGGGTTGTCATGGTGTTGTCTGCTTAGTCTGTATGGGGTGATTTTGGGTTGTCATGGTATTGTCTGGTTGGTCGGTTTTGGGCCGTTATGGTGTTGTCTGTTTGTTTTGGGTTGTCACGGTGTTGTCTGTTTGGTCGGATGTTCGTTGTCACGGTATTGTCTGCTTGGGCGGTTTTGGGCTGTCATGGCATTGTCTGTTTGGTCCGCTTTGGTGGTTTTGGGTTGTCATGGTGTTGTCTGTTTGGTCAATTTTGGGTTGTTATTATGGTATTGTTTGTTTGGTCTGCTTGGGTGCGTTTTGGGTTGTTATGGTAATATTTGTTTGGTCGATTTGGGATTGCCATGGCGGTGTTTGTTTGGTCCGATTGGGCGATTTTAGATTGTCCCGATATTCTATTTATATTCTTAATATTATCTAATGGGAAACTTTATAATTTCTACTAATTCAGATTTAGATTCGTTTATTTTTATTTCTCAATCAAAATATGGTATCGCATTATTAAGCCACCCTTTCATTTTTTTCAGATTTATTCAAGCTTCTCTAGCGTTACAAATCCCGCTCTTAGATATATGTCTCGGGTTGGTACGACTACCACAACATCTTGATTCCTAGCTAATTTTACGAATCCTTCCCTATCATTGGCAAAATCCGTCAAAAATTTGTCACCAATTATCTGGGAGTCATTCTTATATTTTTTAGGACGTGAGGTTCAATTCTTTTCTATTTGCTCTGATCTTTGGTCCGTATTTGCCGTCCGCATTTTTTCTTGATATTCCTTAGTCTCTTTTAGAGATTGGCAGACGTATATGCCGTCGATGGAATCGACGGGTCCCCTCTAGTTTGAATTATTTGGATCGAATGTCTCTGGTCTACAATGTTTTAGATGATTGCTTGTAGATCTGGTATGATTAAATATTCGTAGATCAAATAGAATGATACTTGTAGATATTTGAAAGAACTTAATTCTGAATGAAATGATAATATACGTATTTTGAAATTATTTCGATCGGTTAGATTTTGAGAATCTAGACATATATTTATGATCTTTCATTTTCTTTATATTGAGTAGATATTAAATAAATTTCTTCTTTATATATTTCTTAGGGAGGGATTTTTTAGATAAATGATATTATATTCTATAGATGATTATATTCGATCATAAGAATTTTAGGATTTCTATTGATATTCATATTTTCAATTTGATATGATAGGAATATTTTAGATATTTTATTTTGAAGAATTTATAAAATATATTTAATAGATGAATATTCTGATGGACTTACGATAATTATTTCTATCTTCGAAAATAAATATATATGATAGAATATGTTTGAAATAAAAAATTTTCGATTATAATATGAAAATTTGGAATCTATTTGAAATGTCATCGATATTCTTCTTCTGATATTTGATTTTTTAATATTCTTTATTTAAAATCTATCATTTTTTCTTTATTTGGATTTAATCTTTCTATGATAACGCATGGTTTGAAATCTTCTTGTCTTGAGATATCGTTGGCTACTCATTTGTCGTCTGCGGAAATGCAAAGCTTCCCCGCACTGGCGCACATAGTTGTTTTGCTCGCTTGAGCCATTCAGTTAACGGTCAAGGTCGGATGCATAGCTGTTGCGCTTCTGGTTTTACTGGACTATACAAGAAAGAAGCTCTGCTTTCACATCCATGGTCTTTTTAAGACCTTAGACCGGTCTGCTGCCGGCTTTCTTCGAGGAGCGGTCTCGGTCGATCTTCAGTGTGCCTTTTGCCATCAGCAAGTGTAGCTGTTCACTGCGCATCCGTTTGGTGAGGGCATCAGCAGGCATGGATTTGGTCTCAATCCACTCAACTTTCGTCGTGGCACCAGCTGGGATGCCATCTGTGTTGAGCGGGTCTCCGTAGGCCTCACCATTTTCCCGCCAGATCATCTGGCGAAGAGCACTCATATCGATGGAAAGACGCTTGTCGCTTGTGGTTCCCATTCCACTTTGCAGCAGGTGCGCCTCCAAACTTCTGC